GTTGGAGCAGCCTTTCAACGCCTCTCTCTGTCTCTCGCTAGCAAAGTTGACCCAGACAACAAAGTAAAGCTAGTTTTCAACTACAAGCCCGACACGAACCCGACGTATAAGCCAGAGGTCCCTTTACTACGGTTCGGAGGCGCGGACCTGTTTTATATACGTGCGGAATATTTTTCTATATGAGATTGTCGCAAGTAAGTTCAGCCTTACCTGATGACCTTCCTACTGTTACTCATTTTATATTAAAATGTAAAAATCTAGTCGGTATTGCCTTCAGAACTGCACATGATTACTATTTTCAGTACGAGTAATAAATCACACACCAATAGTACATTGATGTAGTTGTAAAAAGTATGATAATATATTAAGTAATCCAAAGTATTCAGAATACGTTACTCTCACTGAGTAACGTAACAGAACACGTTACAAAATACATTTTGGGGCATGTATTCTGTAATCTGTAGTGGAATACATTTTAAAAGTAACCTTCCCAACAGTGTTTGTTTGTTATGTTGGCTTTGGCTCTCACTGAAGTTAATCCTCAGTCTGAACCAGAACTTTAACACTAGCAGGAAATAAACCTTTTAAATACTACCATCTTGACTCCTCCTTCACTATTTTAACTTTATGTTAGTCCCTTCTATCTCTTAGACTATCCAGGGACATAATACTCATATTAGGAGACACACATCGGCTCATTCTGAGGCTTCCTTCATTATGTTTAATTGTGACTGGGAATTGTAAAACAAATACAAATTTTATACTTAATTAAATATTAAAGAGATGAGTAGAAGAAACTCTAAAGACAACAGAAGAGGGTCATAAATAAGAAAATACAATATGTTTCCTGGCAAACAAAGAATATTAAATGAATATGTGTATGAAGGTTCTCAGTGATCAAGGTCATTGTAGTCTTAGTAGCTTAGAAAGAAAAATGCCCATCACACATGATGTGTTAGCAGACATACAGTCACACTCACCTCCTGCTGAGAAGCAGCTGTGGCACACTAAAGGAGCAAGCTTGCGAGGTGATGTCTATTATCTTTGTGATAAACCTATATTGCCTAAAAACTGCTGCAATTTTGAGCCATAGGCTCTGCCATGTCTCAACAGCTGGGTTGGTAGCAGCAGTTGAACTGTAGTTTTTCTAACTGGGATTTAATGCTTCCTCAAAACATTTCTGTAAAGCATGTTTAATATGTTGTAAACATAATGCTCAGGGGAACCTCAAACCTAAAAGAGGAAGGTTCCCTAGACCCAGCTACCCATTTGAAGTGATCCACATTGATTTCAATGAGTTAACTGTAATACCTACAAGTACTGCCTGGTAATTGTGTGCCCGTTGTCAAAGTGGGTAGAAATTGTCCCCACTAAAAAAGCAGATGCTATTTCAGTGGCTAAAGCAATATGCAGAAATGTGATCCCAGAGCATGGGATCGCCCAGACTATTTATAGTTACAATGGTCCTAATTTTGTGAATGGAATAATTGCGAAAATGTCACAACATCTGGGGATAACACTGAAAATAGTAAAGTAAAATTAAGGCTCAGGAAAACAGTGGAAGAGACAGGCAGAACATGGGTAGACTGCATTGAATTAGTAAAAATGTATATGAGAATTACACCAACGGACAATGGCCTAACACCCTTTGAAATAATACATGGGAGGCCATTTAGAGTTCCAGTGTTCTATAGTGATAGTGATAAAGCAGAAGAAGAAAACACACTAGCAGGCTGGATGATTAAAATGCTGAAAAGCAGAGAAGTCATGAGTCCAAATAATCTGCCAGAGAATTCTGTTTCTGTACAGGAAGAACGTCTGAAGCCTGCTGGTCAAAACCACAGTAGGACGGACCGTACCAGGCTCTGCTGACAACACCAACAAAATCGCAGAGCGACCCACATAGACACACCAAAGCCATTGCAAAAAGGTAACACACTTTTACGCCAGCTTGGGTGGTGGTGACAAGTCCGGGTACAAAGGGGGTGGAGAACCAACGGATCCACATACTCATTTAGCCGGTAAAGTGTTGTCTACCCTGCTGAGTGTAATGGCTTTGACGCTGTCATGGTCAACTGTGGAGACCCTGTATGACAGAGGAAACCACACTCAATACCCAAACGTCTGGTGGCAGATGATGAACGCTACGGTGTACCTCAACAACGAGACAGACTGCTACGTATGTGCCCATATGCCATTATCCACTCACAGCTCCGGAATATGGCCATATAACATTGCCCAAAACCAGTATTGTCTGCCACCCCTGGCTACTAACCCAGGGCCAGGAGAGACACTGGACACTATGAACCTTTCTTTACCGCTAAACTTAACTTTACCTGATCAGACCGAAGTCAGGCAATGTGGACTGTACTGGGAAAACAGATCTACTGGCCTGGCCGCAAGTATCACAACCGCTCCCAGACATCGTACTACTAAATCGTCTAAAACCTGGAGACCTGACTATGTGCCTGATGGCAAATGGCACCACAGCTGTAAGTGAGCTGGTAAAAGCTGTTTTTTTAACCACAGTGGAGACCTGTTTCTCAAGTTTAAAAGAGCTCTCCAGGAACACTCCAAGGTTTCTTACAGTGAGCGAGAGATGGCTAGCAAGAGGATCTAGGGCATCAGCTAACTGGTCGGGTGGAATGTGACAATCAAAAATTATGATTTCAGTCTTATTCTCGTTCAGTGTAAGAAAATTATGTGAAAACCAAATTTTAACTTCATACAGACAGTTGAACAGAGGTTGCAAAGAAGCAGACACATCGGATTTCAAAGGTGAATAAATCTGGATATCATCGGCATAACAGTGAAAGGAGATGTTATATATTTTTTTTAATTAATTCCAACGGCAGCATGTACAAAGAGAAAAGAGCAGGACCGAGCACGGACCCTTGAGGCACACCACAATAAATAGGGGCAGAGGCCAAGGAGTGTTGCCTCATAGCAACAGAGAGCGACCTCTCTGAGAGGTAGGATTTAAACCAGGATAAAACCGTACCTTTCAGACCAACACATGTTTCAATCTTGATAGAACAATGTTATGGTTAACAGTGTCAAAAGCAGCAGTCTAGTCTAGTAAAATTAAAACCACGGAATAGCCAGAGTCAACGGTTAAAAGAAGATCATTAAAAACTCTAAGTAAGGCTGTCTCTGTGCTGTGGCGAGGTCTAAAACCAGACTGAAACTTTTCATTAATACCATTTGCATCTAAAAAGGCCTGAAGTTGTTTTAGAACTACCTTTTCCAATATTTGGAATTGGAAATTTGGAAGTTTGGAAATTGGCCTGTAGTTAATGAGAGTGTTAGGATACAAGGACCAATAACATGTAAAGCTTCCTTAAAGAAACAAGCAGGGAGAATATCGTGCGGGGAAACAGAGATTGTAAGATGATCAATTATATCTTTTAAAGCAGAATAAGACACTGGCTCAAACTGTTGGAAGACAGTCAAACATTCAGAGACTGGAACTGGGTCTAAAACTGATGATGGATGAGAAGTCCTTAGAACTGAGATTTTTTCGGAGAAATACTTTAAGAATTTATCACAAAGAGCAGGGGAAGCATCCCTATAAGTGGTAGTGCAAGGGTTTATCACAGAGTTAAAAGTATTAAAAAGGGCTCAGGGGTTGTGGCTATTAGTCATAATAATGCTAGACAAAAAGGCAGATTTGGCAGCTTTAACAAACTTTTGATAAACAATTATGAAGGATGTCCAGAGAGACGTGGAGTTTGTCTTTCCTCCATGTTTTCTCAGCGTGACGACATTCACGCCTAAGGGCGCGAGTAGTATCATTTAGCGAGGGTTGGCGTGAGGATTTGGCACGTTTAATCCTCAGAGGTGCCACAGAGTTAAGAATGTCAGCGCATGCAGTATAAGAGAGGTTAGCAAGATCATCCGCTGATAAATCCCCATTACAGCTAGCATCAGAGAGGGGAGAGTCAAGGAGAGCATCAGTGAAGTGGGCGATTGACTGGGAGTTAATCGTGCGCATCTGCTGGACAGGACCATCACTGATCAAATCCACATCGCTCACTACAGTATTAAACAAAACCGGGAAGTGATCTGAAATCCCAGAATCCTCAATGTCCGTGATGCAAATATCCAGACCATAAGATAGTACCAAATCAAGTATATGACCTTTTGTGTGACTTGTTTCACTTACCCACTGGGTGAGATTGAGGGTGTTAATAAGGGCGAGGAAATCCATACCTAGCTAACTGTCCTCACAGCAAACATGGATGTTAAAGTCAACAACAATTAGTATACGGTCATAGTATACGGTCATAATGTAAAACATTCCCCACGACTCCCCAGTAGACTCCCCAAATTCTGGAATAAAATCCTTGATGAGTTTCGGGGGGCGATACACCACAGCGCAGAGAATGGAGGGGACGCAGTTCACTTCCAATAACTGCCCCTCGAAACTGGGGTACAGAACAGGTGGCAGCTGCCGACATTGAAGTTTGTCTTTAAAAACTGAAGCTAGACCTCCACCTCGACCAGTGGTCAGGGGTGACCTAATAAAAGTGTAGTCAGGTGGGAGCAGCTCTGAGAAGGGAAAAAGTTCACCAGGGCGAAGCATAGTTTCCGTCAGGAATAAGAAATCCAGCCCACCATAACCGATAGAATCTCTAAAGCCGCTCACTTCATTCCGCTAGCAAAACTACCCTCCACCTCTGACACAGCCCAAGCCCTGATAGAGAATTTTTTTCAGCTCCATGGAATTCCCCTCGACATTGTCTCAGACCAGGGCCTGCAGTTTAACTCAAAAGTGTGGAGGACCTTTTGTTCTATTTTGGGCGCGAGAGTTAGTCTGAGCTCCAGTTTCCACCCGCAATCCAATGGTCAGACGGAGTGGCTTAACCAGGAGCTGGAGGCTCCCAAAACCCACCTCCTGCGTCACTTATTTACACTGGGTGGAATATGCCCATAACTTACCTTGTCCTCAACTGGTTTGTCCCCGTTCGAAGCTTCCCTTGGTTATCAGCCTCCGCTCTTCCCCGAAAAGTAACTCGAACTCGCGGTCCCCTCCACACAGCATCATCTCCGGCACTGCCAGGTCTGGCGCAGGGTCTGCCAGGTCTGGCGCAGGGTCCGCCAAGCTCTTCTGCAGATGAAGGAACGACACACGCACTATGCCAACCGCCGTCGCACCCGCACCCCCAAATACCAGCCGGTGCAGAAGTTTGGCTAGCTGCCAAAAGTGTCTTGCTCCGTGTGTCGTCCTGGAAACTGGCCACACCCCCGGGCTGGGCCATCACCTGCACACCTGCTTTCCATTCTGGGCAATTACCTGGAGGATTATTTAACCCCACGCTGATGGATGTACATGTATGTCACTTGAACTGTGTTAATTCTGCCTTCGTGTGTTATGATCCGGCGTTTGTGTCTGCCACCTGCCTGTCCTCCTGCTTGTTCGGATCACCCAGTGCATCATCTGTCCTCATCCCTGCCTCCTCGGATTCGCTTTCCACGGAAACACTTCCCCCCCCTTCCGAGTCCCACGGTCCCACTCTGATCGTAAGCCAATTACTAAAGCCCTATCTTGTTGTGTCTCCCTATTTCCCGGCTCAGTAGTGCACGCACTGCGGTGCGTGACAGGTAGTCATGGCCATTAATCAGTGGGCTTTGATCAGTGGTTGTTGATCAATGGTCATGAGAATTTGCATAATTAAGATTAAGGAACTAAGCTCCCAGCCCATTGTTCCTTCAATGAGCTGTTTTCAGTCATTATGTAAATGTACTGTTTATAAACCTGCAGTCAGCTGAGACTGAAGAAGTCACTTGGATGAGTGACGAAACGTTTCTCCCACAAAACGCTACGTCCAGATGAACAGAATCAACTTTCGGAGATTGACTTACCTGGATGATTGAGAATGCATCAAGACGGCTGCAACTTTGGCCGATTTGCATGATTGACACTTTTTAGTCATTTAAGCCAATAGAATCCTGGCAATGTCGCCATGTTTATGTCAGTTCCACCAATCAGATGTTGCAAGGCAAAAAATCCATATCACGCTAAATTTACAAGGTTTCTGTGGATACCACACATGTCAATAATTACATAAAAAACTTCACGAAGGCTTGAACTACAGCTCATCCCCTTTGCCTTGGGTACCAGTGGCGCTGCGACTCAGGACATATAGCAATATACAGCATATAGTGTATCATGATATAGACAAAAAATACCACAATATTACATTTTCCTCTGAGAGATACAATCTCTCCAACATGTCCTGGGTCTGCCCTGGGGCCTCCTCCAGATGGGACATGCCCGGAACACCTCACCCAGGAAGCGCCCAGGTGGCATCCTTATGAGATGCCCCAACCATCTCAACTGGCTCCTTTCAATGTGGAGGAGCAGCAGCTCTACTTTGAGCCCTTCCCGGATGGCTGAACTCCTCACCTAATTCTCATTTCTGCTGCCTAACACTCAGCTGCAAACTGCGGATGGAGCCAACAGAACCACACCATCTGCAAAAAGCAGAGACGAGACTCTGAGACCACCCAAATGAAAGCCTTCGGCCACTTGACTACGCCTAGAAAGTTTGTCCATAAAAATTATGAACTGAACTGGTGACAAAGTGCAGCCCTGGCTTAGCCCATCACCCACCAGGAACGAGTCCGACTTATTGTCGGCTATGAGGACCAAGCTCTTCCAATAGTTGTATAAGGATCGAATGGCCCGTAGCAATGGGCCAGACATCCCATACTCCTGAAGCACTTTATACAGGACACTCCTCCTGTATCTGAGGTCTGACTAATGGACGGCACTCTCCTTTCCAGGGAAAATAAATTAAAACCATTAAAAAAATAGTTACAAAATGTATCTTTATGCATATGTCATGTATTCATATACAAAATAACAATGAGAACTAGAAAGTGCATTTTCTGAAGAAACTGCAGTGTGAATGCTTGAATCTGAATGTATGCACTGAAATGAATTAATTGCTGAATTTTAAGTTAAAAATTTTGAATGAGATAAAAAGAAAAAGAATTTAATATGAAAACAAAAGTGCTGAAGTGCTAAAAGCTGACGTTTACACAGAAGAAGAAGTTGGAAAATAGCTGTAAATATTTTAATTGTAAATTAGAAAAGCCTAAGAAATGAGAAAAGAAAATTTTGAGTCAGAAAACATCTAAATGAATATTAAAAGTTCATATTCTTTGAATCACTGAATGACTAAAATGTGATCCCTCCACTTGGATCCACACAGTTTAAATAGTTTAAATGTCTGAGCTTTGAAAGACATGGTGTTGGAAAGAGAACAACGATGGGGACGTTTTGAGGATAAAATGATGGTGGTCGAGTAAACACTGTAGACACAACAGCAGTTGAAAGAGAAGTGTTTAAGATGAATCTTGGCACAGTGAGAGAGAGCTCGTTAAGCAGGCAGGTGTGAGCCTGGTTGCTATAGTGACCGCACCCAATGGCTCCCTACACATGCACACAGACATGCGCCTCACTTTTGATGCTTAAAATGAACAGAAAAGTCAGCCCGAAACAAATCGTTCCCAAATGAAAAGTACAGGTTGTATTGAAAAAATTCTTTCACTGTGAGCACCAGCAATGTCCAGTCTACTGAATTCTCAGTTTTCATAGCTGTGGAGTTTATTATATGGACGTGGTGACAATGTAAAGACAGCCTGTACTTCTGATTTTCAAACGAACCTTCTGAGCCATTTTAACATTAGAGTCTATGGAAGAGTTGGAGGGAGGAGGCTGTGCATTGGTGACATTTATGAAAGAACCATAACACCTAGTACAATAGTAAACACATTGGATGAAAGAGGACAGCGATGGCTATGTTTTGAGAATAAAATCATACCTGTAGAGCAAACGCTGCGGACACAGCAGCAGTTTTAAGAAAAGATTTTAAGATTAATTTTTTCGCTCCTCTCACTCTAGCAGTTGAGCTGTCTCACTCTAGCGCCAACATTCCGTCCCATACACACCCATTATAAACTCTGAAACGGGTGAAAAAACATCATGAAACTTAAACTGGAACTGAAGAAAAAGTATAATAGATATTGAAAAGATAAATACAAGTTGAATAGTTGAATGTCTTGTCTTCGTTTTAAAGTTTGAATGGTGGCTCTATGTCAACGTATGTGGAAGTAGTAAGAGTTTAAAAATGAGTAAGTTGAATGAGGATTTGAAGGGTCTCCCCATTGAAATACATGGGAAATTTTTGTTGAATAAAGTTGAATAATTTTAAAAATATAAATGTTATAAATGAGAAAAATAGAAGCAGTCATGTCCAAAAGAAGAGGAATCTAACGGTGTTTGAATGGTTTTTCTAAGTTGAACGGTTTTGAAGGAGTTAGATGCCAAAAAACGTACGGAATATATAATAATAAAGATTACAACAACAATACTGTGAATGCTTTTACAAGCATTCACACTAATAATAAAGATTACAACAACAATACTGTGAATGCTTTTACAAGCATTCACACTAATTAATGAATAATTTAATTTAGAAATGTTAATTTCCTTCATTTTAATTTCAGACTTTTTAATACCTACAGAACCCAGGTGTATTTCTGAATAGGAAAACAACTACTCTATTCTGATTATGTTGATGAACAAATCTTGGACTCACCGAGCCTTTCTGCAGTTCCTCACAGCTGGAATCAGTCTCAGTCGTCCGTCCTCTGTTGTGTTGTACTTCTTCAGGTCCAACTCATCCAGAACCTCCTCTGACATCTGCAGCATGAAGGCCAGAGCTGAGCAGTGGATCTCAGAGAGTTCCTTTTCAGATCTGTTCCTTGAATTCAGGAACTTTTGGATCTCCTGATGTACTGAGAGGTCGTTCATCTCCATCAGACAGTGGAAGATGTTGATGCTTCTGTCAGGAGAGATTTTATCACTGTTCATCTTCTTCAGGTTCTCGATGACTCTCTGGATGATTCCTGGACTGCTCTCTGTCTGACCCAGCAGACCTTCTAAGAGTCTCTGGTTGGACTTCAGACAGAGGCCATGAAGGAAGCGAACAAACAGGTCCAGACGACCGTTTTTACTCTGGAGGGATTTCTCCATGACTCGTTTAAGGAAATCATCCAAAGATAATTTCACATAGTTTTTTCCCAGGAACTCATTCAGCACCTCCGTCTTCCAGTTGGTGAAACAGTGGAACATGTAGACTGCAGCCAGAAACTCCTGAATGCTCAGATGAACAAAGCAGTAGACTGGTTTCTGGAAGATCACACACTCTCTTTTGAAGATCTCTGTACAAACTCCTGAGTACACC